TCATTGCCTTTCACTCCAGAGTGCCCAGGACAGAATATCCATGTGATGGCTCGAAGTGATGAGTGTTGTATTGGGTTTATCTATTCACTCCGAAGAAGCCCTTTCTCAACCCTTCGCAAGATGCTCTGGTAGTCCGTGACAATGATGAGATGGGTAGTTCTTGGTCTTGTATTTTGAAACAGCCAAGCGCTCTTGTTACGGCCTCAATCTCCATATTCATGCTTGAAGTTGTTCTTTCTATGGCCCCTGACATGCTAGGAACCTTTTTGTTCCCACTGTACACCACAAAACCCCATCCACTTCTCTCAACCCTCCAGACCGATCCATCTGCATAGATCACTGGGTCCTCTGGCTTGGAATGCTCCTCAGTTAACTGTCGTATTATTCCACAATTAACCAAAATAATTTTTGGGAGTTTCCAGACAAAGCTGTTATTTGAATAAAGACATCACAGGGTATCTTATAATAAACAATGGAGTCCGCATCAGCCAAACATAGTTAAAACTGTCGTAAACTGAAAGAGAATAAACCCAAGATTTATAATTTTTCTATTTGATCAGCCTCTCTAAACCGAAAACAAGACTAAACTGAAGAAAATCTGTCAGTCCTGCAGATTGCAGTTGAAGCAGACTCCACTGTAGTTTCCCTTTGCTTTTTTACAGAGAAATGTAAAAAATATATACTTTTCCTCTAAAGGAATCAAGTTTACTTAGTTGACTGTTCTTTTTCGGACTGAAGTCAAGAGATGCTCAATATGGAACTTTGCAGTAGGGAATCTGAGATAATCCAAAAACCTTCCATTCAACTTTTTAGACAGTCGATAAACATATATGTATCCTGACCATAAATGGATCTCACTCCATTTTGTACAGCAGCATTCCATTAAAAATTCTCTCAGGAAGCTCATATGCAAGAACTTGCACTATGCTTCGCAAGAACTTGCACTATGCTTAAAAAACCCCAAAGCTATGAGTGCAACAAGATTGTGAAGTTGTTGGGCCAGAAGTGTCAATCAAGATCTAGGACACCGGCACGTGATTTCAAGTAATTTTCTACACAAGTAGAACGGACACAGTTCATATTTCCTGTACAATATCGGTGCATTTATTCTTCCTGTACAGCATTGGTGAATTAATGTTTCTAATGAATCTTGATAGAACAACAGCTCAGAAGTAACCCTTTTTCTTAGTATAATTCAGACCTCAATAATGTAAAACGTTTCAATCACAGATGACAGATGTAAGTGGAAGACAATGATCCTCAATGTCGGTGTTGAATGCAGGAGAATAAGAACAAAATACAAAACAGACAAAAATCGCACACCAATTATCAGAGTTTATCCAAACCTTTGGCATCTCCCACCACAACGGGTGGCGGAGGATTGGGGAAGAAGGATTTCTTTTGGATTCCATCCATTATGTCCACAATCGGCTCCTGAATATCTTTATATGTGACCTGGACCATGGACGCTCCTGTCTGGGCTGTTGTTTCTGTGTCTGTGGCAAAGATCAAAGACCAATATTAACTCAACACAGTATTCTAGTTTTCCACACTTCCCAAAGAAAATGTCACTAAAATTCACAATAACTCTCTGAGCTATATATTTTCAGCCACTTTCGCTCTCTGTCCAGCTATAAGCATATGAAGCCTGTTAGGAACACGTTGCAGTCATGTATATATATTGCACATTGCTGACAACTTAACACCCATCCTGAATCCTAGGTTGAACAGACAAAAGGAAACAAAATAAAGTACTTTACTAGGGGAAAGCGCAACTGAAAAACCACCAGTCAAATCTCATGAAAGTAAGCATGATGCCATATCCACAAGACCTGGAGGGCCAAGCATATAAGAGATGAAACAAATATCATTAAAAACAAACTGGCCTCTGATTTAGATATTTATATTTACAACAATTTAGTCAGTTTGACTTTTGAACATTTTTTGTGTGGGCAGCTTCTTTCATCCTACATTGGATGACAAATAAAATGAGAACGCATTGTTCAACTAGAGTTCCTGGCAATTCTTATTTTCAAACTTTGAGATTCCTTTAAACCAGATCCCATTTGGGGGTGGGGGGGACGTGAAAGAAAAGAAATGTCATATTTTTTCTAAACGCACTGATTTAGGACCACGCCTGCCGGGAACCAGTCACTACTCAATACCTTGAACCTCCAGAACAAAAGCAGACAGCCATACTGTTCAACACAAATATCAAGCATGTTTCCCAAGGAACAGATCAGATAATATTATCACTGCAAAGAAGTAGAGCAAGAAAAACACTCAAGCCCACCCATCAAAAACTTGTAGAGAATCCTGCCTTACCTGCTACGATGATACCAATAGGCTGACCATTGTAGACCACATTACCAGAACACAGTAACTGGGGATATAACAGTTGAGCGGATGTGAGGTATAGTGCTAGTCAGCAACATAACAGACACATTTCACAAAGGAAGCAGTACAGAAAAATAATAATCATGAAAAAAAAAAAAGCAGGACAAGCAGACAACATCTGAGTTCCCACAAGCCAACAACTGAACTTAAGTCTCCAAAAAGCAATTGACAGTGTCAATAAAATAACCGCCATAATTTTCCAGGAAGTGGATTCCACCACATGGGAATTTTAAAAAGTTGTGGAAGGTGGAAAGCATACCATGGCATCCACTGTGCACTTACTGGTCTGGAGAAGAAAAGATTGTGAAGATAGAAAAAAAAATTAACTGGCTAAAAGAAAGGGAAAAAAGGAGAAAGGATAAAGTAACACACATGCTTGACAGGAGCAGGTTAACTCTGATATCTCAAACCGATTATCAGCAACCTACTCAGCTAAACATGGGAATAATCACTCATTGCCATCAGACAGCAACATACAAGGAGTAGGAAAAAATTTCGAAAAAAATAAAAACAAAACAAGACTATGAAAAAAAGCCACAAGGTCAAAAAGAAAAGGATAGGTGAACAAAACAAGATGGAGAGAAAATCTGTAGCTTTAGTCATTATCCATACCATCGTAGCTGATAGCTTATTAGCGCAATTATGGCTACAATTCACCAAGAGCAACGTAGGATAATAGAATCACAGTCCAAAAATAGAAAAGACTGACCGCCACAACACAGCTATCCAGCCATCCCTTCTCACAATTTGCACAAATTTTCAACATTACAAGGCCACAACCAAAGAACCCCCCCCCCCCCCCAACAAAACTTAGTGAACTGAACACACAGCAGCTAAATACAACAGTTGGATAAAAACACAAGTATACAATTATCTGTTAAATTGGATGCCTTTTCACGGAAGTATGGCGTCGACTTAGGAGTCAAATGCAAGCCATACAATGTCAGCTTCATTTAGTTAAAAACAGATCAAAACGGAAGACAATAACAACATTGGAAAGAAGTAGAGGGAGCAGACAACATCAAAGCCCTTACCCTGACCCCACCACTTGCTTCATAGCCTATAATGAATCTCATTTAGACCCAAAAAAAACTTTACAGATTTTAAAAACTCTAGATCTGACCAAACTTCATCAGGGAAGTGGGGCATTTACCTCCTCTGTGGCATCTCCATATATGCCAGTTGGACGCCAGTTGTTCACGCCACCCTTTGGGATGTCAGAGGCACTGATGAAATCCACAACTCCAGGCAGTTTCTGTATGGGCACAGATATATATCAACTTTTACATTTAAAAAAAATTGTAACGACAAAGCCATGTTTTTATAGGTCAGTGATAAAATCAAAACTGCCAAACACAATTCCTGTCACTTCTTGGATTGGTCAAACAGACCTGATCTGCATGATTGGGTATGGCAATGGCATTGGTTTGTGTACACTATTTCAAATAGAAATTTGCTTCTGGTTATTAGATTTGACCATGGGATTCAGTGGGGCCAATCACATTCTATGCAAGCAAAAGATCCAACCCTACAATGTCATGTGGCGCGCAGTAGCCTTGTGCTGGTGGTCACATTTTTCTTCAGTGGACCTTACCATGACTTAGAAAATCAGGCATGTATGATTTTGGTGGATTGGTTTAAATGGTGCCAAAATAGTAGCTTTGGTCCATTCAAGAAGAAGAAAAATCTGGTCATCTGTATCAATCTGAATCAAGTAACGAACTGATACTCTCAGCAATGCACGTTAATGGGGGGGGAAAAACTCTGAGCATATGCCATCTCTGTAATCAGTGGCGGGATGTTAAGGGAAAAAAACATATTTCAAAGAGATAGTTGACAAACTATATAACTGAGAGTGTTCATTTTCCTCTAAATGTGGAATAAGCATTTCTTGAACTACACAAATGAGACTCCACTGTACCTGCTGGGGACTGGACCAGATACTTTGGCGCTAGATTAGCAAGTCACCTAAACACAGTATACATGTTGAATATTATGACTCCATCTTTTCTGAAGAGCCCTTCAGAAAAAGAAAAGTTTAAAGAACACACTAAGAATACTATAGATACCACCTGCATCAGGGGAGATCATAAGGTACCACGTTTATACAACCAAAAATAAAAATTGTAAAATAGAAACAGGCAAATCACATGGGAAAAAAAGTCAGAAAACCTATGAGAATGATGTTGTAAAACATACCAAAGCAGCTGAAGGGTCAATTTTGTCGATCTTGGCCTTGGCTACTTGACTTATGACAACTGCAGCAGACAACTGACCAGGGGCAGAAGGTAGATCGTCCAAAAACTTGACCTCTCCAGTTGTCTGGGGGCAGCAAAAGGACAACCAATGATAAAAACCAAAAATGATCAACAACATGAAGAACAAGGGCCATAGTAATGAATAATATTCAGCCTGTGGAGTTAACCATTGCAAAAAAACAGAACACAACAAAAACATAAAACATTTACATTATAACTTATAACAGTTAAAACTACTGATGGAATCATAATCTATGGTTTTTGACACTTTTACTACAGACATACCTAGGAGGGAAAATGTACATTATCAATCATCAGTCTTTTTCACCCTGTACCAGGGTATAATCATGCCACCAACAGGAACTCTCTGTGTACTTCTCATCAGGGCTATAGTATCCACCTCTAACCAGCTGTATCCAATCACCTTTACGGCAAAATCTATGTCCCTCCTTCAAGCATTTCTAGGCCTTCCTTTCTTTATCTTTCCTTGAGGATCTGTTTAAATGCTTGGTAGGTAAAGACAGTTTTCCTTGTTCTCAATGGGTGACCAATCTTTCTGATTTTTTAAAAACTATTTTTTGTTGATTTGTTACCATAAAGTACACTTTGGACATTGGTTTTTATAACCCTAGTCTCGGTTTTTGCGATGATTCTCAACTTCCATACATTTCTTAGTAGTGTGACAGCACCTTGGACCTTGTGCATTCTTGTCTTTACAACTGCATTTGTTCCTCCAACCTTGTCTTAATATTATACTACCTAAGTATGTGAAGTAATCAATTTCCTCTAGTGGTGTTTCTCTGAAGGTAATCTGATCATACACGATGGCGTTGACCCATAGAAAATGGATACAACTCTTCACAATACTTGCAATTTAGTCTGTTTCCAGCTTTAAAAAATGTTAAGAAGAAATAACTTATACAGAATTACATGGGAGGAAATCCTTTTCAGGACATGTTTATACTAAAAGTAATTTTTTTTCACCTAAAGCAAAGCAGAATTTAAAACAAACCCAAACATAAAAAACAATATAACGAACAAAAGCCAACTGATCATTCAACCAGCTCAAGTAAATCTTCATCACCTCAAAATAAGAAAAGTGAAAATAAAATATCCAAAATGTTCTGCAACTCAGAAGTATTTCAATATCCTAAGAATCCATTCCAAACTATTTTCAATCCGAAAAACAAAAGTAAAAAGTTTTACCAAATAGTCTGCAGTCAGTTTCATCATTGGCTTGGACACAGGGAACTCTGTCGGGTCAGAGTCAAAGTCCTGCTTGCCCACGATGAGAGAGCGCTCCAGACTGCTGCCTCCACTGGTATAGCGAGGGCTCACTTTGGTCTTGCAAGCTCCCAAAACAAACTGTAGATCACACAAAAGAATCCATCCATAAACACACAACTCCCATGGGATATAAAACTACAAAGGAAATAAAAGTGTCATCATATTAACACTCACAGTACCAAAGACTCATATACAGAAAGGTCAGCTCTATTCAGACTCAAGTCCGATTAAATTTTTTATCTATTCGGACTCGAGTCCGAATATGGGTTTTTATCTATTCGGACTTGGGTCCGAAAAATAAGTGAGTTATGTGAGTGTAAGGAGGTAACAAAATATAACAGTCATTGGGGGACGTTACGTAAAACCAGATTACAACTAGAATTACCTACTAAGACTGTGTAATTGTGTCAAAAGTCAAAAGACTGCACTCTCATTGCCCAATGGCAGTGTGTAAGTACACGGTAACCGACAACTCAGGGTCTTTCCACCACCACTACAGCATCATCATTACTTCCACCACCATTTGTCTTTCCACATGTTTAATTAATTCTGTGTTATAGTTTTTCTGTACTTAATTAAAAAAAAAAATTACATCCCACAAAATTGACAGCCGTGGCCTCTTCCCAACACACCTTCCCCCAGCTAGCCGAGAGTGCGTGATCACTATGCGCAACCTCATTGGTCGACATAATTAGCTTTGCCCCTCCCCCCCCTTCAAGGTCAACTTAACTAGGTTGTTCTGTTCATACTAATGATGCACGGGGGAGGGGGGAGGGGTAGGGCAGTTTAGATAGATCTAGTAACTCAATATTAAAGCTCACGTCTTCATTGTTATCATCATAATCGAAAAAAAATTCATAAATGCTGCAAATATTTAGGAACAAGGGTCGGAAGTCGGAACGGACGTCATGCTGGACGTCATGCTATTCAAATCTGAATATAATTTTTGTCTAATCGGACAACAGTATGTCAATCAACACTACAGTTCAAAGGAGCAACTCCTAACCTTATAAAACATGGACAACGCCAGGGACTTCCTGTAGGCGGTCCCGCCTCCTAAAGGCGACACATCAGGCACCAGCTCAGAGGACAAGGTCAACAGAGCAGCTGTGAACACAAAACACATTAAGTATCACAACAGTTGAACTGACACTATACAACTGTACTGAGAGTAAAATTATCTTCCTCGAGTTGAAAAAAAAAAGAAAAATGATAAAGGAATAAGATACAGTTTATGTCTTGCCATTAAAAGTTTAGGGTCAGAGAGTGGGATACTACATAGGGACTCAGTAAAGATGGGGACACTGATTTAGTTTCATTTATCTTCTAGGAATCTTCAAAATGTCCATGGAAGGGGATTGTTTTATCATTGTCTTAAAGGCATAATTGGTAAGTTTTCTATTAATGTGCACATTGTCGGAAATAAATGACCATGAAAAAGACTCCAAAAATGTGTTAATAAGACCTGATAATATCCCTTATTTTTGGTGATTGTTTCTTTTCAAAAAATCTTCTTAAAACTTGACTTTCTGCATTCTGTAAAATAATATTGTGACAACGTGTGAAATCTCAAATGCTGCAGGACTGACAATGGCAATGACATAAAATCCACTGGTGAACAGTACTTGTTTTTGCAAGTAAAAGTGCTCTCATACGAAGAACCATTGTTTCCCAGGCAAAACTTTCTAATAGATCTTATAAATTATCTACACTAACTTTTGAGCACTGCTGGATCTCCCAGTTGTTTGCCTTCCAAGTAGGCCTCTGTCACAGAGGCATGGATCTACAAAAGAAATGAAATAGAATTGTAATAGTGTAATTACTTTAAATCTATACTGAATTGAGTTTATTCAATTCATAGGAATAAAAAGAACAAGAATTAGTGTAATTACTTTAAATCTATACTGAATTGAGTTTATTCAATTCATAGGAATAAAAAGAACAAGAATTATCTGCAGTTTCTGATGTCAGGCACTCAGACACTCAGTGCTGACACTGCATCTGTGTGTGTGTGTGTGTGTGTGTGTGTGTGTGTGTGTGTGTGTGTGTGTGTGTGCAAGTGTGTGTGTGTTTGTGTGTGTGTGTGTGTGTGCGCGCGAGTGTGTGTGTGAGTGTGTATGTGTGTGTGTATATGTGTCTGTCTGTGTGTGAGCGTGTGTGTGCGTGCGTAAGTCTGTCAGTGTGTCTGCATAAATTATGTATTAACGAGTGTGTGTCTGTATTATATATACATGTTTGTGAGTGTGAGCCTCATAAAATCTCAAAGGAGCAATAAAACACAGAATGCATATAGTTCAGCATATGTCATATCAAACAGACCACATTACGAGAAATAATGTTTGTGATAAAACTCAAATGTCTTTGATCATGAAAATTTAAGATAGTAGTTCCACAAAGAACAATCAATTTTGAATATGCTGTTCTTTATATTTTTCAGATATCTTGTGCATGCTTTACAGATTTTGTGAGAAAAGGTAAGCAAGGGAGAAAAATTATGTTTAAGTTTAGGTTTTTGACATTCCATGGCGCCAAATGCTTCAAAACTAATTAATGTTACACAATCATAACTCCAGTTGAGTTTCGCCCTTCTAACATAGGAAAGAGGCTCTGAAGAAACATGTCCTCAGGTGAAAATGTTTTAAACTGATATTTTCAACATTTGAAAGCTCCATTTTCTTGAGCTATTTGCACTTTATTCACAAGCAATTGGGACTCGCTGTAAGGAAAAGTTTTGAGAAAATTACTTCTAAATTTTCCATGATATGGCCAAATAAAAAGTTAAATGAAAGATATCCAGTCCCCCTGTCCTTTTCTACTTCTACAATATTCACATACAATGGGTTTCACTGGGGAAGTCTCTCATTTGGTATTTACTAGGAGCGGGCACGAGCCGAGATTAATACCCGTTTCTCACAAGAAATGCCCTTCCCGTCATTTCACGGGCACTAAACTACTGCCCGGTACTGAGAAGTGATACCGCTCATTGGCTTTACATAATGAGTAATGAGAGTGAGAGGTGTCAACGGAAAGAGCAGCACAGCTAGTGAGAAATGACAAGCAGACAGTGTCACCCATCACCGTGCCGTCCTCTGAAACTGAAAGGGAGGGGAGAGGGAGGGGAGAGGGTGGCGAGATGAGGCCAGTGGGGAGTTGATCAGGGCCAAGGCCTATGTCTTCCGACCTTCCTTCATCGCCTGCGCAACAGGGTTAGCCTAGTTTAGATCCCCGCCACGGCCGGCCTTCTCACTGAGCGAGCTGCCCGTGAACAGCATGAGAAGAGAAATTGGTCGCGAGACGAAAACCACTTCTCGGGACCAGGACCGGTCCCAGCGAGAAGTAGGTAAGCTTCTCGGTCTTCTCGCTCGGGAAGAAAAAAGCGCTTCCCACCCGTCTCCAGTATTTACAATATTTCTACACAGAAGGACGTCATCAAAACAGTTTGTATGAAAAATATTTCCAATAAATACAATTGTTCGAAGATGAAGATATAGAAAAAATTTATCTTTTCCATATCTCAAAATTTTGAGATAGAAAAATAAAGCTTTTGCCTTATTTTAAACAACATCCCCAAATAAGCCTTCCGCACCTTCCTATATGTTTTTTCGTAGCCCCTAACATACGATGAGAAAATGCATGAACCTTTAATTTTTGCACTAAATACAAAATTGATTGGGATGACATTTTGACCATTTTTACAGGAAACACACAGAAATGCTCAAGATTCATTCCTACCAGCTTGGCATTGATTCCAAGGATCACAATGCTGGGTTTGCTTTGCACGAGGTAGTTTTGCGATGCATCCAACTCAAACTTGAAGCCAGCTGTGACATATGAGTGACATGCCTGGAATATTCAGAAACAATATGAGATGCATATATTAATATATCTTGTATTTGTCCAAAAGGAACAAAGTGAAAGTCCAGGCTTGTTTGCTTTAATCAAAAGCACAGTAAAAAAAATGTTCTGCAACTGGCAATCAAGTCAGTACAATAGAATGCCATCTCAACAACAGAAATTTAGACTTCACAATATATCAGATATTATTTTTTCTTTGAAGTTACTTTTCCACTTCTACTTCTATGTATCTCTGTGGGGGCAAAATTGCCAAGAAGCTCTTCTTAACAGACATTCATCCACTGCAAAGATTAACAAAAAAAACCCTGACAATACATAGAAACAAATTAGCCTAGTGTTCATACAGAATAAAATCAATAATTCATTTTGATAATTTTGTACAAATAGTGTACTCAATACAAAAAACAGGAGCAATATCTGTCATTTTCTCGTTTATATTTCTTCTGCTTTCAGATCTTATCACATCTTATCCAAGATACCTGAAGTCGGAGGCTGGTTCTGAAAGTTTGGAAGACCATATTTTTTGACTGAAACGTTGGCAGCGCCATTGCCGCAATGACCTTGCCCTTCATGTCCAGTGACAGAAAGTCTGGCAGAGACACTTCACTGCGGGTGCCATCTCCGTCAACTAGAAGAAATCAAAAGAGAAATACTCAAAGATAACAAGGAGCAAGCACCATACATAACCAATACTAAAGAGAAGTTGATCAAAGTACAGTATAACATGGACAGGTCAAACACAGAAAACTAAAAACCCTCGAACTGTGCCTGCAGTTCTGTTTTTTTCTTTCTTCTTTAACTTTGTAAGATATCCCTCAAACTACGGATCCCTCGAACTACCGAGGCCAGTCCCGACGAAATCGATCTATCCATGTTATACTGTAATTCTTACTGAGAAAAGGTACATGTGAATGAAAATATTAAAAATCAGAGGGAGAGTGAATAAATACATAAAACTCATCAAAGGAGTAAGACTGCATAAGTGCACAGCAACCTAACTATATAAAAACAAATTTTAAGAATAATGTTTGAATTTAAAATAAATAATCGATCTATCTCATTGTCTACCATACCAAAAAGCTCATCTAAAGCTACTTTAAAAAAAAAGTTTTAGTAGAGGTTTTACTGAGCTCGCAAATGCATAAGGTCATATGAGCGCCAGAAGATTAGAGACGTTACAAGAGAGTAACAAACATTAAAAAAGAAAAAGGGGAGATAAGGACGATAGCTGTTTGATAGGAAAGAAGAAGCAAACCACACCAGAGCACCCGCCAACCACCCACAGCTACTTTTTATCTCTTAGAAAATTAGAGTCATTCGAAAAAACCCAGAAATGTAATGGAAACTTCCTATAGGACAACAATTGATAGTTAAATTACTTTTTCAGTTTCGTGTTACTGCGGTAATGTCTTTAAACAACAACTTTGTTTGGACTGAGCGTTTTATGAAAAACAGCAACAGTTGTTAATAGTTTACTCCACTCTTTCACTAAGCTTAGCAATATCAATATTGTGAAAGCTGCAGAGAAAATCATCATTGACACCAAACACCCATTAAGTTCAGAATACCAGACATTTGTAAGAAGTAAACATTTTAAAAAACCAAGAACCAACAGACATATTAATTCACTCGTGACATCATCAATATGAGCTTTTCAGTTATTGTCACCTGTGTGGGAATATCATAATTTTGTAAATCCATCCAATGACAATTTGGGTGCGTGTGTGTGCATACGGAAGTGTGGGCATGAAACTGCATGTAGGTGTTTGTCTGTCTGTGTGTGTGTATCTGTGTCTGTGTACATATCTAAACCAAAACAGTGCCTTGGCAGTCTTACGTCTGAAACTTACAAATGATCAAACGAGCTCCAACTGTCTCCAGAAGCATGAAAATATCAGACACAAACTCATTGTGTAGGTGTTTCAGCATCAGGTTGCCTGGCCAGGCAGCCATCTGGAACATTCAGACAGGGAATAAATCATAAAAGTCAAAGACAGTCAAGATTTATCAAAAGGAAAAAAACCTTTTAAATCTGTTTGTACCTTCAACATAAGTGTTCATATTTTAATAAAATCAGACAAATCACTACTTTGAGTTTATTAAAAAACCATAAATTAAGCAAGTAGAAAGAACAGTCTACACCATCCAAACACATCAGAATGTTGTTAATTAAAAATGCTGTTTTTAATTTACAGGTCTGTCACACAGTATAAACAATATGAAAGAACATTGAATGTTCTTAACTTGAAATTTAAAAAAAAAAAAAAAAAAAAAGGTGTAAACCAGATATTATGTCTTAATTTTACTTAGCAACACATACAAGTATAAACAGCAATCATTAACAACAAAAAATCTGTTTGACTCGTTCAACACCACGTTACAGTAATTTAAACGGCTGATACTTTTGTTATCCTGATAAATTACTAATGCAAGAGCCCCTGTGGTAATAATGACATACCACTCAGTTGCTAAAGTCACTGTTTATATTGCTCCCCTTCTTCTGAGCTTTGCTACACCACTTTTCACAACATAACAGTCCATGCAAGGGGTGTTAAAGCCTTAACATATCACACTCACACATTTTACGTTTTTCTTTAAAAAATGCAACTTTTCCACCAACTTTTGTATCGCTCAATGGCTTTGGGACTAAAGTGGTATAGTAACTCTATTGTATCAAAATAGAGGCTCTGACCTACTTTGTTTACTTCCAACTAATTTCCTCTTTCCTTTTTCATTGTACACACCACATCATGGACTGCATTGCAGATATCAAGTTAGAGAATAATGCATGGTGGAGACTAGACCGAACACAGCATTATTATTATTACTCTGAGATCAATTACTTTCAAAACGTACGTTACGAATGCCATGCATTGAAACTTTCTTCAGGTGCTTGGCAAAAGCAGCTCCATATGAGATGCTGGGATCCGTCTGGGAGCGCTGGAAGAGGTCAATGAGGTTACTGATGCTCAGGTTTCCCCCAAGAACGATGGTTGGGTCAAACTGGGGAAAAAAAGAAAATACTTTGGTGACTCAAATAGCTCTAGTCTGTAAGGCTCATTACTTCTTAACAGTTATATTCTGTGGCAAAGCCAAACAAAAAGATTGAAAACAGAGTGGGACCATAATTATCCCGGAAAGAACAGTACAAGAGCAAATACAAAATCTTAGCACACGATAGAAGGAGCAAATCTAAACATTACTTCAAAAACCATATCACATCTAAATGACCTGGTTTTGAATCATTTTGGAATCCAAGAATCACATCGCAATGGTGTTCTATTGTACTTGTACTTACGTCAATGGTGTACATGTCTTTGACACCACGCAAGTCAATAAGAATACTGTACATCCATGGCCCAATTTCCTTGTACACTCCTGAAAATATAATTCAATTTCATAATATTTAACTTTGATTCTTTGCACTGTAGTCAGAATAACAGCAACATTTTCTGTTTTGTCAACATTATCATAAGAGCCAGAATCTGCCAATGTTGATGAAATAGGAAAGGCTCAAGATAAAAGGATTTGTGGGTTGTTTCCATCCAATTCAAATAATACTGAACAAAAACACTCCGATTGTTTCATCAGGTAAAAGCAGTGCGTGAGACAAACAATGCAATCATAACTAGAGATAAAGCCCTTTCCCAAACTTATACGAAGCTAATCTGATATCATCAAACGAAAAACCTATGCTGGAATAAGTAAAAGGGCTTTAATCTTTCAGAGAAACTGATCGCGGGAAAATTTTTTTGCTATTACATTATACAGGTAAAGAGGTTTTTCAAGCATTTCAGGCTTATTTGCACACATCTACAGGTCTTAAAATGTATTTCAATGACAAGCTAAAAAATTTAGTTCCTGGTGGTGACTTTCAGAAAAATACAACCGCAGAAAATATTCACAAATGTTTTGGTTTTTCTTCTTTAAATTTGATGCCCTGAAAACCACAGAACAGTTCATTTTGAAGGTTGCTAGAGCAGAAAAAGCGTCATTGAGGAGACTCACCAAAGCCAGTGTTGCCAAACACAAGTCTGTAGTTATCAGTACGATGCTTGTCCAACAGACCACACAGCTCCTGCAGACTGGTTGGCTTCAGCCATTGGCTGCCATTACTCACGATGTGTATTGATTGGTCCGTCTGATTCCCACAAGCCTTATCTTTCCTCTCATTGGTTTTGCTGCAGTGACCTGTGCAAGGCTTTCCACTCTTTCTGCACATTTTGCCTTCCAGTTCCTGTTCAAAAAAATAAAAACATTGAAAATATGAACAAGAAATAATTTTTTTTTAAAGACAGGGAGGACCACATCTAATGGAAATGACCAGTTTTGTCAGTTGTATGTTTTTGAGCATAACCTTAACACTTCTTATCGGCTTAGCATTAGCTGATTTAACATAATATTACACTTTCATCAGTTCTCTATCCCTTGCATACTTACAGCAAGATGTGACTAATAAGCCCATTGACAAAATGAAAGTGACTTAGTATAGGGAAAGAGGAGGAAATACAGACAGAAACAAGAGGAAAAGAGGAAGAGAAAGAACTACAAACTACTAGTAAGAGCTCAAACACACAGGCTCCCCACAGACCATACATAAAAAGTGTGTTTGCGCTCAACATTATATTTTACAACTTGACATGCACACAGCAGCCAGACTGTTGAGTCCAGATTTTTCCGTCCATTGCACAATCTGGATTGCGTCAAGCAAGCCATACATTTTCTGGTCTGGGCGGACAGAAAAGGGGAGTTGACGTTACTAAACCTAAACACGCCGGAATACACACTCCGCTACACATTTTGCACATGGTGCAAAATGGACGCAGCACAGCTTATCGAACTTGTGTGGGCAAGAACAGCGCTTTATGATATAAAAAGACAAAAGTTAAACCAACAGAGATTTCGTCCACAAAATATTGTTGGCGTCCTTCGAAAATAGTCAAACCTGTGTAAGACGGCCACCCATTGTCAAGGAGAAAAGTGGTCGTATAAGACAGGAGGCCGTCTTAGGCAGGACTGATCAAGATGAAGAAAACAAACAATTCCCATCTGAAGTCCCAATCGAAAGTAGCCGCATTGTTGTTGGTTTGTATTTTGTTTGCAATTTTTATTTTGTTGCTGATTTTGCGCAAGGGTGACAATAACACGAAATGTATAAGACGAGGAAGATCGAGTGCCATGTTAAAACAACCACATGGGTCGCCACCACTCGGAGAACGAGCGACGCTTGTGTCGCAAGTTCATGTTGACGTCCATTGTTACTTTGTTTCAGACTGGGTAAAGAGTGACCACTCATCTCACAATTTGTGTATGAGTTCTGGGCGGGGCTCAAGGGTGATTAGGGATCACACGCTTACCTTACCAGCAGCTGAAAATTGGTAGATCTACCTATTGGTCAACATTGGGAGGGGCCTATGCAACGTGATCGGTTGGAGGGATAACCTAACAACGACAGGTGATTGAAATATGGTGGCCGCGGCCGCGTTGGACAGGTGCCCGTTCTACACAGTTAAATTATATAGAAAAAACGCAAGGGGGAAAATGGAAAGTGGCCGTTTGTACAGGTGGCCACCTTACAGAGGTGGCCGTTAGGGCAGGTTCGACTGTATTCCAAACATTTCTCAACATCAGCAAATATTTGGGGCAACAATTTGAATTCTCCCAAAGCTCCTCGGTCTTTACAAATCGGGTGAATCCAGTGACGCCGTTTGGATTCTAGGGCTTTTCTTTTGTACGACGAAAGCAGAAATATCTTGTGCTTCCTCGTGAGCACTATCTTGAAACCGGAAAAATCTGTATGGTCTGTATGGACTATGGACCCTGTGTGAACGGTATAACATCACTTTTCAGTATACAATTTTTCTGACCCGGAAAAAAGTAAGGTCTGTATGGAGCCTGTGTGTTTGAGCTCTTACACACCCCACATGCCTACAATCTAGCAGGATGAAAAGGGACATGGTGTGTGTGTGTGTGTGTGTGTGTGTGTGGGTGGGTGTGTGAGAGAGAGAGAGAGAGAGAGAGAGAGAGAGAGAGAGAGAGAGAGAGAGAGGGAGAGGGAGAGAGAGAGAACAGCTGAAGCATAATGAACTAATCCATATGGAGCAGCTCACAAAATTGATACCTGTATCATAAATCTATATATATATATCTGGATACTGAATAACATACTGAGACAAATAGTGATAGCAAATAATAATTTCTTAGGCTTGTAGCATTACATGCAGAACACTTCATGGCAAACATATGTGCTCACAAAGCAGTGTTTGAAAAGCCGGCTCAGTGCATGTCTTTTGTAACAGATCTGTTCTCCCGCAGCAATGAACATTGCATCAAATCATTATCGATTATAACTAATTTCAACACATCTCTAATATCCCCCTGCCTCTTATGCACACAGGAATCTTGGCTATACAGCTGCTGACTAACAAATGCAAAATCTCACCAAACAGGAGATACATGTGCTGACGTCCCAAGGCTAGAGTTTAACAAATTATCTCTATTCACCTATCCGCTTGGGTGCAGAAAAAATAGTGCATCCCATGCTACTTTTAAGATAATGTAAAAGCTACCAACGACACACTCAATACAAGTATTATAGGTAATAAACTCAACATACACAATCCAGCTGTCTCCCAACTTATGTGTTATATAATCAACACTTCTCTCTCTCTCTCTCTCTCTCTCTCTCTCTCTCTCTATATATATATATATATATATATATCTCACTGTATGTTAAAGTGCATGGTCAGGGCACAGAAGGGCAAAGGCAGTAACACACAAATGAATTGGTTCATTGGGATACGTTGTTTGTAGTGCACTTTACAAACACAGAAAAATGTAATTGTAAATGTAATTATCGATCCAGTAAATTAAATGTAGGCAAAAATAAAAACACAACTGAGGACAAAGCTCAGCCTGAACCCAACAAATAGACAAAAAAGCAAAAGCCATTATCGTTTGAAAAAAACAACCCTCGCCTCAATCAAATCCCTCCCATTATATTGCTATCTTTTCAATTAAGATCATGTCCAATAAACATAAGCTACAGTATTTCTACTAACATTTTTGTTCTTTCTTATCCAGATAAATGCTATGGAAAAGCAGTAAAACAATGACATTCTACCAGAAACAAAACAAGACTGAAAATAAAAGTACCGTCCACTGTTACTCTGACTGGATCAAACATAAAAATAATATTGACTCACTAATTATAAGGACAGTTTTTCAACACTTTACTTTGGCTCAGGAAAAATTACTCAAAATGGGCGGCAACCACAAAAGGGCATAGAATACTCCCCTCATCCCCCACAAACAAAACAAGACACAAATATTTTAAAAAATAAATAAATACCCCCAAACTGACTCATTAAGTACAAGTAAGATATAAATCAGTTTGGAAAAAGGTTCCAAGGAACTTTTACCTCAATGTCAATCAAGCCTCCAGGCAGGCTGGCCGGGGCATCAACAGCAAAGGATTTCATGGCATCCAAAATTGACCGATAGCCTGTATAAGGAGAAAAAAGATTGCAGAGGAGAATTACACAATTACACCAAAATTTTAACAAAATAACACACACACCTTGTGAGCATAAAAAAAATATTAAAAATTGGCAAAGAAAAAAGTTGAACAGAAAACTAATTGCTTACAAAATAAACAACAACATATAGTTATATATAGCAAAGATAAAAATCATGATACCATGCAATTCTAAACATTAGATAAACAATCATATATTTTTATCCAAACTGGTTTGATTTCTGGCTATTCGAATCCATAAAGTATGGACTTTTCTAAGCGGCAACTGATTGAAATCTTTAAGGAACTGGTTGAAAAAAAAATCAAGAAACAAGCAGTGCTTAGCATAAACAATCCATAAAATGACCTTATATGTAGCTAGTTCTGAGAAAAAAAAAGGCCTTTGTGGTTGAGGAGGAAGTAAACATTATGCTGACCTAGGTTCTACTTTCATACAGTTCATGCCGTCAAACAGTCTATGATAAAGTCTTGAAGCCGTTACTTACCTGTACATCTGCAAATGGTTGCATCAAATTCATCTTCAATTTCCTGCATGGTTGGCTTGGGATTTTTAAGCAAAATCCTGAAAAAAAGGTTGTCAAAGAGTTCAAGAAAGACCAAAAGATACTAAACAAACTCAATCAATAGTTTCTATACTTACGCAGTCTATTGCATCAGTGTTTTGAAAATAGATAAAAGCAAGTAAATTATCTAGGCTCTTATAGTTATGAAGACACATAAGTCATTTTGTTCCATTCATTATGGTTTCCTACCTACATCTTACTCCCCTTCTAACCCCGTCACACATCTGCTTTCTACTCAATCATTCTCAGAATCCAACGTGGTAGCGCAGTATCAACCATGATAAAAACAGGCTGTTGATTCAGTCAGACCTCAAAAAGTTCAATAGAATTGATAAAACATTCTCCAAACAAGAAATCAGAGTTAAGAAAAACAAAGTACTTCAAGGATGGACAGCAAATCATTGGCCAGCTGTTCAGATGTCATTTTAATCACGAGTACCTTTCTCACCCTGCATCAGGGAATAGGCCACAAACAAACACTCTCCACCTTTCCCTATCCTGGGCTAGCTTCTTGATATTATCCATTGTCTATCCATGTTTTTGTACATCATTCTCTGTGACTCTTCTCCGAGATTCACATGGCTTTCCCCTTGACCTCTTATCCTATGGATTTAAATCCTCTTTTTGTCAGGCAGCTGCCTTGATTCCTGAGACTATGTCTAATCCAGGAAGCCAGGCAGCTTCATGTTGAGATATACGAAACCCAAAATTCTGAAATTCCTTTTTTACAGTGGTCTGTTTGTCTGTGGTATCGGTTGCATGTGGGCGAGAAATTTTAATTCTAAATTTTGAAAAAAAGAAAGAAAAGATACACAATTTAGGTACAGTTTTAAAAAGAGAGAAACAATATTTTCTCTCTCTCCTGGAAAATGTAGCCTCCAGGGCTTCGAACAGCTGATCAGATTCGCCTGCAGATGAAATGGGACACTAAGGAACTGAAAGAACATTCTCCAAACCAGAAAATCAAAGTTGAGATAAACAAACAAAAAACTCCTAGTCCTATAGACTGCAAAAGTCCCAGCCTCACCCATTCATGTTCATGACCTGGCCAGGGCTGCAGAAGCCACATTGAGCACCATCGTACTTGGCAAGCCTGTCCTGTATGGCGTGCAGCCCTTTACGAGTGTTGCCCAAGCCCTCAACCGTAGTCACTTCCAGACCGTCACATGTGTACAGCTGCAGGCAACACTGCAGGATACAGAGGAGATAATCAGGATACAAGGAAACAAATAACGCATTTTGCCTTAGCACAAGGCAGTAGCTTTATTAAAAATTTTCTTTTGAATTGTGTCAAATAGCAGCACTCTGCTCCCTACTCATTGAGCAACTCTCTCTCTCTCTCTCTCTCTCTCTCTCTCTCTCTCT